CTGAAATAAATATTTATTCTAAAAGGGATATCATTAGTTAGCAGCCATTTACTATACCAACATTATCTGACAGAGGTGTTGGATAGCAGCAGTCAAATAGTTATAAATGCAAAAATAGTACTGAGCTAACAAATATTGATAATAATATACTAAATAAATATAAATCCTCAAGCAATCAATAATAAATACATAAATAGTGTCAGTGTATATACCACTAAACATCTAATGTGAATGAGGTCCACATATAAAAACCTCAACACAGGTAATATTGACCAATAATAAACAGGGAAAAAAAAAATATATATAGCATCAAAACAGTGCAAAACAACAGTCCATAGGGTGAATAGCAGAATAAAACTGGGACTCTTCCCCTTTACTGTGCTTGTGTGGTATCCACCATCATCAGGCATGCACGCTCACCTCATAAATTGACCCACATCACATGGGTGAAAACAGCAGTAATCCTCAATGTACCCTGGTCGCTGGAGCTCAACATCACCAAGAACCATATAGCAGATGTCATACATAAGTGAACAAGAGAGAGATCCCTGATGAAGTCACACGATGCATGACGCAATGCGTCGGACGGAAACTTGATGATGTAATTTCCAGTTGCGGCCGTGATCACCGTCATCTTAGTTTCCAAAAATACCATGCTGTTTGTGGGTGTTTGCAGCCATTTTCCCTTGTGAGTGTATTTCTTGCATTTTTCATGTTTTTTAAATAAAATTAACTCTTAATTACTGCACAATGAGGATTCCCTCTCTCTTTTTCACTTATGTATGACATCTGCTATATAGTTCTCAGTGATGTTGAGCTCCCGACCAGGACCAGGATACATGTTTTTGATCTACAGTATGTGATCTGGGTAAATTTATGAGGTGAGCGTGCATGACTGATGATGGTGGATACCACACAAGCACAGTAAAGTAGAAGAGTCACAGTTTTTTTATCTGCTTTTCACCTTATGGACTGTTGTTTTGCACTGTTTTGATGCTATATATATTTTTTTTCACTTTTTATTATTGGTCCCATATTCTATATTACCTGTGTTGAGGTTTTTATATGTGGACCTCACTCACATTAGATGTTTAGTGGTATATACACTGACACTATTTATGTATTTATTATTGATTGCTTGAGGATTTATATTTATTTAGTATATTACTATTATCAATAATTGTTAGCGCAGTACTATTTTTGCATCTATAACTATTTGACTGCTGCTATCCAACACTCTGTCAGATAATGTTGGCATAGCAAATGGCTGCTAACTAATGGTATCACTTTTAAAATAAATATTTATTTCAAGTCTGTCTGCTAATAGACCTCACCCATATCCACACCCCTCTCATGTGCTTCACCCTAACTGGGCTTAATTGTACCTTTCTGAAACACTCTTGGTACACTATATGAGCTTGAATTCACTGAGCTCCGGAGAGCGACCCATTCTTTCACAAATGTTTGTAGAATCAGTCTGCATGCCTAGGTGCTTGATTTTATACAGCTGTGGCCATGGAGGTGATTGGAACACCTGAATCCAATGATTTGGAGGGGGTGTCCCAATACTTTTGGCAATATAGTGTACCATGGTTCAACCTTACCATACATCCCAGTACTCTGTGTGCTTTACTTCTGTTTGTCATTTTTTTCCAACTACATGATGAGTTTTACAGTAGTACAAGCACAGGATGGACTTTTTATCCCTTTAGACTGAGTATGTTGGTGCCTGGACTCTGATATTGTTGCCTTCTGATAGTTGCACTTCAATCTTTACTGAAAAAGCTAACATACCATCTACTGAAAAGGTAAGCATTAACAGTCTACTTTAGCAGGGTGTTTGCATAAGTTCCAAACCAACAGTGGGTTAGAGATTACATGGGACTTAGCAACACCTTTCCCCAGTCCCCACATGATAGCTATTGAGCAGTGCAATTGAACCCTCGGGGACCAAACACTGAAATGTGAGGAGGAATGGGAGACATTTGCTTATGCCTTCATACCTGGAAGTGGTAGGCCTCTTTCTTCAGCTATACATACTGAATATTTTTAAGCAAATAAATAAACTTGTGAGCCACTGAGGTATAATTTAGGTAATATGAGTATTAGATTGCTGGTTAATGTGCCCACTCTCCTATAATGTGCATTTATAAACAAAGTATTTAAATAATTACCGCGCTCTAATACCATCAAAAAATGCAGACAAAAAAGTGCAAAGTGCTTATAAAATAATATAACAGTGATAAATAGATATAAGAATTAAATCAATTGAAACAATGATGCCTTATTGTCAAATCACTATTTGTGCCATCCTTATATGAATATGCAACGATTTCATCTGTAAACCACAAAAAATATATATGCTATAACTGAGAAAATAAAAATAAAAAATAAAAAATAATAAATAAAAATAAAAATGAAAAAACTGCTGAAAAAGAAACAGCAGTACTGTCCCAAAAGTGTCCAGCAAAGATGGATCTGCTCTCCTTCAGTATGTAGATCAGGTCTTTGCAATAATGTTGGAAACCTGTATGATTGCAGGGCTGTGAGGGATACTCCCTCCTCTGATCCACTCCTCAATCCTCTGCCTTTATACTCCTCGTGTGTCTCATGTAAAAGAGAAATAAAGAATATGGTGTCTTATCCCAGGGGTAAAAACAGCTTTTAATGTGCTTCCAGAATGCACTCACATGTCATGTAATACAATAGCGCTTTTAGATCTGTCAAAAATCCGCAGCTTGCAGCTAAAACATAGCGGTGGGTGTGTGTCCACACACCTTCAGTACTCGCCGTATAGTAGATAGGATGCGCGATGACATCACTGCCCCTCCCCAACGCGTTGCGCTACAGGGATTTCATAGCTTCGTCCCTGTATTATTTTATAAGCACTTTGCACTTTTTTGTCTGCATTTTTTGATGGTATTAGAGCGTGGTGAATATTTTTAAGCTTTCTTTTGAGAAAATTAGTGAGTTTAGTTCTTCTTTAAAATTTCTGAATATGGATGGGTTGCTAATTGAAAAATAGCAGCTCCAGGGTGAGGTCTGTGCCCATCCTACATTAATATAATATACAGTCAGTGAGGAGTGGGAAATCTTTAGCCAAGTATCACTGGCAGTTATGACATGCTGAAGGTCAATAGATAATTGAGAGTGTGTGTGTTTCAGGTATGGGGGTCTAAGTACCTACTCACAGGGAGTCTTGTGGAAGGGAAAGTGAAGTCACCCTTACTGTGAGATCCAGCTACAAATGGTAGCACAATAAGGATAAAACCACTTGCTTAGGTCTTTTTTTTACTGCTTTTCTTGCCCACATTTATTAAGAGTAAAGAAACATAGAAAAATGATGGAAGAAAAAAGTGGTACATTGAATCTTGAATTTTTTTTTGTTTGTTTTTTACTGTTGACTGGCTCACTACCTCTGCTGGATGTTTATTCCAAGCATCAACTACCCTTTCAGTAAAAAATACTTTGTAAGATTAGTTTGAAACTTTCCTCCAGTTGGTTTGAGGTAATTTCCTCTTGTTTTTGATTTTGGATTAATCTTGAAAATGCTGCCCTCCTGAGCCTTATTCACCCCCTTGATGTACATTAAGGTTTCAATCATGTCTCCCCTTTCCCTTTCCCTTCGTTCCTTCAGACTCTATATATTAAGTTCCTGAAGTCTCCCCTGATATGTTTTATTCCCCAGACCTTTCACCATTTTTGTTACCCATCTCTGGGCTCGTTCTGTCTTCAAGGAGACTCACATGGTTGCAGGGGGTTTCCAACATTTTTCAGACACAAAATCTAATGCACGTCAGTCTCCTAGCCTATACTTGCAGCCCTCCTGATCTGGCCTTCACCGTTAGGCCCCTTTCTGTCTCCTCCAGGCAATCTTCTCTCACAAACTCAATGCACACACCTAGCAGCACACAGTGATACTGGCTCACACCTGTTTCCTAAAGGGAGTCCCTCCTGACTCCTGAGACCTTCTTTGTCAACCAGGATGAGGCCTGAACCCAAGTCATGTCTGTAATAAAACCTGCCCACACCTGCAAAATCAGTTTGCCAGTTGTTCACAAAACCTGGATCTAGGGTTACAGACTTCATCCCTCCCAATTCTTTACAAAGCTGCTGGACTCCAGAGCCCAATCCAAGAGTTACCAGTCCTGGAGAAAACTGCAAAACTTGTTTTCTCCACTCAGAACTGACATCCTGGGGCCCTTTAACCTGGATGAATGAGAACCCTGTGTAACATCTCAATGTTCTCGCACTGTGACATGGCACAGCACCATCACAGTACGTGAATTGCAGTAAAAGATAGATTACCCCTTATATTTGTAAAGTAGAAAAATATATATAACACAATGGGGTTGTTTTACTAAAACTGGGGAGTGCAAAATTTGGTGTAGCTTTGCATAGTAACCGATAAGTTTTCAGATTTAATTGCCAAAGCTTAAGTGAATAAGTTGAGGCTGAATGGCTACCATGCACAGCTGCACCAGTTTTAGTAACTCAACCCCAATCGCTTATGTACCAGTAAATAATGGCTGAATTATACTTTAGGAACCATTTTTTTAAATTTGTAAAATGTTCTGAGCTTTTTTACTAGGGCAATGCAAAACTAAATAGAATATACAATAACCCATAATACTCTTTATTTTTCTTATTGCTGCCAAATCCTGCTTTTTTCTTACTATTTAAAGTCCAAAAAAGTTTCCTGCCTAATATCTTTTACCTCTAATAAAGAAATAAATGAAAACAGAGAATAATGAAAAAAATCACTATAGAACTATTATTTAGTTGTTTATTTATATATTGGTGGTTCACGATTCATGCAGACTCATAAATAACTTGTCATTAGTCTACTAAATCCATTATATTCATATTTCAGCATTCAGCATTGCAAAGAAAGGACATATATATGATATAGTTGCAGATATATTAGGTCTGTTCTGGCATAACGATGGAATACGTCTGGTATGAGATATCTTGCCATCACAAATCAAAGTTCTTGAGCTTTACTTTCCATAGGAGCATCCACTCTGGCAACTGTCACCACTTTTCTTGCATAGACACATAACTATAGGCTGAAAAATAAGAAAACAAATTATGGTCATATGATTACTACTACCAAGTATAAATATGAGATAACACAACAGACTGAATTCATTAAGATAGATAAGGGTTTTTTTATTTCATTATTTTATCTTATGATTATCTTCTGTTAAACAATGCTCAATTCAGAAATATATACTTTCAGCTCTGGAAACATTTTGGACAAAAGGACCAACTGAAGCTGAACTCCAAGGCAAACTGCCTAATACACGTTTTAACTGCCAACATAGTTTGTACTACTGTTTATCTAGGCGTGTCATATTGCACTGTTAAGCCTAGCAGGGAAAGGGACCTAATTTTTTTCTGCACTGAGGGTTCACCTCCACTTAGGGTTGGTTCACACTATACTGGACAACTGCTGGCATGGTTAACTGCTCTGAAAGCTGTCTGTTCCCGGATGTGGCAGGGGGCAGTGTGGTGCACAATTCAGCGCATCACATGGCTCCCTTTCTTCTTTTTTTTTGTTTTGTACAGTACAAACTTTATTTTACACATATAGAGAATGTACCCTTCATTAAGGCACTAATCAGCAGGGCTATATGCTGCTGTATAGTTCCTTGTGATTTGGTACAGTGCGCTCTGATGAAATGAAGCATGTCTGTATTTTATCGACCCATGCTACAGCATAGCTCCAGGCAGCGTTGCAGTGTGAAAGGGACACACAAGAAACAGTTGTTTTCTGTGTGTCCTTGTGGTAACAGGCATTTTACAATACAGGAAAACTCTTGTCACCGCATTATATGTGACTTCAGACTTACAGGTTTCTCTCAATCTCCTACTCTTAGACTGGACAGTGAAAAGAGAAGCAGCACACATAAGCTCCTTTTACTCTGCTCTTTCCACCTATCGGCATGCCTCTAGCACTGCAACCCATCTTATTGGCTTGTGCTCTTTCTCACTCTTCCTTTTGAGCTCTGTTCTACAGGAACTGCAAGAAGTAGATACTAATTTCAAGTCACTGCTTGCATTAAGAAATATATTTAAGCATATGAATACTAGCTGCAATAATTTATATCTGTCTGGAGTTAGATTTACTTTTTGAAAGCAGTATTTCTGTTCAAATGTTATTTTATCAAAGCGATCCAATGTAGGGCAAGAGAGTGTGCACACTTAATTGCCCCTGACCCCCTCCCCTTTACTATTTCATGGCCCAGACACACTTCCTATGTTATCTCAAGGAGTCTAATTAGTCCTCCTATTTCTTATCTTGGACTACAGATCATATCAGCTCTATGTTGTATAAATGAAAAAAGGAGGACTGATTCAGTATTTTAGCAAAAGAAAACTGGGCAGGGCTGACACAATTTCTTGAGATTTCAGTCCATAATATGTTGTGTGTTGTCAGCTGGGTGCATTTCTGGCAGATAAACAGGCATTATTCAGTAATTGGGAGGGTGCTATGTGGGTTTTTTTTCATTAATTTGTTCTGATATACACATTAGGTATTACAACTTACCACCAAGCAGCAGCTGAGTAAATACAAGGCCAAGATTATGGCCAACATTACAATGACAGCAACAGCCCACCTGGGTGTACCTCCTAGGAGAAATGTGCAACAAGACGTTTATTTACAGATTTTTCATTTTTATTTAGCAGTTAAGCAGAAGCAGACATTTCAGTTTTATACAGTGATTATATGATTATTAAAATCATACACCTTCTCAGGTATCTAAGTGCGAGGCATATATAGTCTTAGAAAAGCCTCCTGGGTCTGTTTAGCTACAGATACACTTATCAATCACTGTCAGAATACACTGATCAATCACTCTCAGAATACACTGATCAATCACTGTTAGAATACACTGATCAGTGGCTGATTGGCTGCACCTGCTAAACAACAACAGCTTCCCATCATATGTCTTTGAAAGGAGTTGATCGCATGTTTGAGTTCTGTCGAGCAAGGATAGCCACACACAGATCAAAATTTGTCTGGTCCCTGCTGAACCATCTAGATTAGATATTGAGAGGGCTGAACTAGAGAAAGCAGTTGATTACCCTATCTACATTAAATGGTGTGGATGAAGGAATCTCCAGTGCCAATGATTGTATTGAGACAGTCGCAGTACCTGTAGCTGTCTGAATACCTAAACAGTGACTGCATCCGATAGAATTTTTTCACCCAGCTCATTTGATTTTTCAGTTGGCTTTTGTCAAGCCAGATGGTGCCGAAATAGCCTTGATTTTCAGCCAGTTCAGCAGGAAATTACTGAAATTCAAGCCGTGTATGGCCAGCTTAAGATCAGGATTTCTGCTAGAACTGAGCTGCTTAAAATGGTAGTAAAGCCACTTTGTTAATTTTTACCTACAGGTAAGCTTATAATAAAGCGTACCTGTAGGTAAAGTGAATATCTCCAAAACATGCACCGTTTAGGAGATAATCGGGGGGGGGGGGGGGGGGGGTCTACAGCCGGCGCATGTGCTCTGAAGGAACGGTATGCTGCCATTCCTTCAGAGCACTGTGCATGTCCCAAAACTCCCAGGAATGACGTCATTGTGGCTCAGCCAGCCAGATGGCTCGAGCTTACATACCTGGAAGGAAGACTTGGTGAAGATGGAAGCCTCTACAGCAGTGACATTATTATTATTATACAGTATTAATATAGCGCCAACAGTTTACTCAGTGCTTTACAATATAAAGGCAGACAATACAGCAACAATACAGTTCAATACAAGAGGGATAGGAGGGCCCTGCTCCTTGGAGCTTGCAATCTAGGAGTTGCGATGCATACTAACACATTATGCCTTTACCTTGCAGGAGTCTTTTTTTTTTTGGATGTGGTTTACTACCGCTTTACCAGTTTGCCAATATTTACATACTGAACTCATAAAAGAGTGGCAGTGCCAAGTTCTCTACTACATCACATTACACTTTTATTAAATTAATAAAACAATACCAAGGAACTTTCAGAATGAGGTCTAACTAATAAGATCCATTTTGCATCCATCTACGTGAGTATAAATGTTTGGGGGTTTTTTTCCCAACCCCAAATGGTAGTAAAGCCACTTTGTTAATTTTTACCTACAGGTAAGCTTATAATAAAGCGTACCTGTAGATAAAGTGAATATCTCCAAAACATGCACCGTTTAGGAGATAAATCGGGGGGGGGGGGGGGGTCTACAGCCGGCGCATGTGCTCTGAAGGAACGGTTCTGCTTTACAATCTACAAGTATTGCTATGGACAACAAGGACAGTTGTTCTGTGTAAAACAGAAACAAGGACAGTTTTTATTCTCTTTCTTTAATACTGTATGTTAAGCGTGTGACACGGAGTGAAGCACTTGCAAAGTAAGAAGCCACATCAATGTGCTCTGCATTTAGCAACATTTTGTGTAAATCATATTTGTAAAAAAATATGAATACATACCTGTAGTAGTAGAATTATTGTTATTAGTAATCTGGGCCTCTGTAAGAAAAAGAAAATGGGAAAGTACAAAGTAAATGAATGGAGTATTGATAAATTAACAAAATAAAGAAACAGTGCATGCTGCAGAAACAATTGTGCAAATTGTGGAAATAAGAAAAAAAAATCAAACAATATCATACCTTTGCATGCTTGGTCAATCACGTTTTTATTATTAATTAATAATAATAATAATATTATTATTATTATTATTAATATTAATATTATTATTATTCATAGGCAAGATGACAGTGTCTCTTCATAAAGCCTGACTAAGTGTTTCAGTGCTGGCCACAAAAAATGTACCTTCGGGCTACGCATTTAACCATGTGATCTCTATGAAGGGGATCTGAGTTTTGATTAGCAGATCTTTACTTCCAGAAGAGACTTGATGATTTGCTTAGATCTTCAGAAACATGGCCTGCACTGGAAGGAGCCTGAAACAGTATCTTCTCTAGGGAAGGATGTTCTCTTCTCTAGGGAAGCATCCATATATATTACTTTTAATGTATCCTTTACATGAAGACCGTTAAAATAGTTTTATCTTACAGTCTTGGCATCACACAAAGATAAACAACATCCCTTTATATGTGTAGCACCCTGCTAGGTAGGTTGCTAGGACGTATATAGTCTAGTTTACAGGGATTGGTGCCCATGGGTGCATGCTGGGTACTAGTATTTATATTCAGTAAGCATATGGGATCTGGTTCTTCTACCTCTTCTTCTTTTTCTGAGAAAGGAGTTCCAGCCAGGGAGGTGGCTGCCTCCCCTGGCTCATGCTTCTAGGAGTCTTCAGGTGGGTGACCCGATGGTCAGAATGCTGAAACCCAGGAAGCTTCTTAGAGCTGACTGAAAGGGTGATGTCTAGAGATCCTGTCTGGTATTACCAAGGAAGGTGACCTATAGCCAGGGCCTTGTGAGTACAGACTGCTTCTGGTTGTAGAGGAGGAGGATCGGGGCTGCTCTACGCAAAACCATTACATAGGGCAAGTAAATATAACATGTTTTTAGTTTAAAAAACAAAGCTTTAATATCACTTTAAAGCTAATATGTTTAGCAAACCTTAGGTGGACCAGCACTAATATGAGATAGCAAACACTATAAGCAACTTTTATTTGCTTTCTCTTTGGGTAAGTTTAGCTATTAAGTATTTGTTGAATACCTGAACCTGCTTTGATTGTGGTACAAAAATGTCAACATTATCTAAGACTAAGTAGTGGCAACCTTGCCACCCTTTCTCTTATTTGCAGTCCTTTTTGACTTGTAAAACTGAGGTGGAAACCTTGCCCATGATTTGTGAATTGTGGTATTTTTGGGGAACAGGTGTACTTTATCTCTGCCTTAGCGAAAATCAGAACTTCAAGACCCACTTCAGGTTTTGGGGGCTCCTGGGGCCCTCTGTTACTTGGTCTAATGTTATCTAATGTTCTAATCCAATTGTCTTTTAATTTTGGTAAAAACAAATTTTGACACAAATGATGTAAATACATTGTACGTAATTAGTTCATCTAGTTTTAAACCTATAAAGAAACTTCAGTCATAACATTCATGGTTTAAGCTACTTTACCTAAGTTATCTAATGTGTTGATCTAATTAAGGACAAGTTCATTTTGTCATAACATGTATGATTAAGCTGTTTTAGTGCTTGTATTGGTACACCCAGTTCATATATTAATAGCACATAGGTGATGATTATTGAATCTGCTTCAGCACTATTGTTAAGTATTTGAGATTTTTTTTTTTTTCATTTTATTACTAAGCTGTAATATTTCTGTAATAATATGAATCCTGGACTTACTAATGCAAACCAGAAAAAACACATCAACGTTCTGCAAACATTTGTAAGGTGGCGTTGATAGATGAAAGATTCATAAATAAAATCTTCGTAATCCCTCTGCTTATGTGTTCTAAAATTATGTTGGAATTGACCAAACAAATGTATGCCTTACATAATCCATTGTATGTCAAGGAGACATTTTTCTATTTTGTGTAGAGTATTATATAACAAAAGCTACAGCGTGAACATATTGTACGATATGCACATGAGTAACAGAGTAACAGTTCACTTTTCTAAAATTTAAAGGGTGTCTTCTGGCAATAGCTGCGAACTGTCCCTTTACATTCACAAACTTCAAATCAAGATATGTACTCTTAGCTTGAACTCCAACACAATATTTCCCTTTACCACTAGTACCATACCTTGAAACAATACCTAAATCCTAACCCTATACCTCACACAAACCCCAGCCAGCATAAACCCAAACCTTTACTGTACCCCTAATTTTGAATTACAAACCTTACCCCCTATCCCATAGTCCAACCTTTAACCTAACTCCTAAACCACCTAACCCCGACCCCTAGCTCTAACCTATAATCCCTAAACATAAGTGTGCAATAGCCACCCTAACATCAATAGCAACAGCTTTCTTCACAAACAATGTTCTGCCAAATTAAATATACGTTACATATTGACAGCATTTTTTTTGCACCGATGTGTTCTTTAAAGGCTTAAGGGTGAATATTTTTAATAGCAAGCTAAGATCTAGAACACAGGGACATGACCTGAAACTAGCAGGAAGAAAGTTTAAAACTAACCTTAAAAGTATTTTTTTTTCTAAAAGAATAGTTGATGCTTGGAACAGACATCCAGCTAAGGTGGTAAGTCAGTTAACAGTAAGTGACTTTAAACATGCCTGTGGTAAGCATAGGTCTGACAAAAAATTTTACAAAAATCAAACAACAAAAACAATAAAGGGTGGACTCAATGGAGCACTTTGTATTTTTTTGCCAACAGTCTATTCATTGTAACATACAATACACCAAAAATGTTGTGCTACAAATCAGGCATCAAAATGTGTGCACCAACAATATCAATCATATAATAAATGATTTGTCCCTAGAGGTGTCTCTGCTCACCCATGTTTGACCAACTGGACCAAAAAACCCCTTATTTATCCTACATAATACACTAAAACTTTATTATTATTTCACCAACTCAGGTAGAGCAGGTCTCTTAAGAATATTTTAAAATGTTGGCTGTTATGTCTGATTAGTTGATGCATTTTTCCTCTTTTTTCTTTGTGCTGACTTAATATATAAACCACAATATCTCACCTGCTTCTTGAAGACTCAGAGTTGTGATTATAACAAGAGCCAGTAATCCAGCTTTCCCCAGGGTACGTACAGCTGCCATGTTGACTTTGAAATCCAAGTTTCCTCCAGTGACTGATGTTGCTCTCAGTGTAGTCCTCAAAGGTCAGATGTACTATGTCACTGACCATCTACTGTTTTATACTCCATACTGAGCAATGACCTACCTCTGCTGTGTATGTTCACAATACATTCCACAAGGCTGAGTGCCAGAATCACCACTGAATAATTACAAAGGCTGGCATTTTATTTCATATTTTATTGCTTAGGTGCCATCATTCTTGGAAGGGATATAATTTTAAAACACAGGTCAGTGCAATTCCTAATTATATTTAACTTTTATTGAGCACACGTGAGTTAAAGCAGCAATTTAAATATTATGATGAATGCCAGTTTGAGTCTCTGAGGGTTATTGTATGTTGCTGGATTCATGTTGCTATTTTAATTTTGCTATACTAATTATTTTGTCAAGTCTCATGATTTTACAGTCATCAGTTTTAGTCAAGATTTCATGACATTGTGGACTTGGGTTCCTTAAGAATCAATCATTCTTTAATAATGTTCATTCATTAGAGTTTTGTCTTATAACTATTGTGCTCTGATTATGTGGTTAGAATATATCTTTTTAGCCCTTTCAATCAGCAGTCCTAAACTGATTTCCATAAGTATTGACTGATATGTTTATCTCAGACACTTCTTTTTTTAAATCAGATTTTATTTTACTTGTAACTTGCCCTTCGGAAGATTTACCACAGTTCATGACTAGGCCATTTTTTTTTGCTATATGGCACTGCGCTTTTTTAACTGTCAATTGCGCTGTCATGCAACACTGTTCACAAATTAGATTTATATCATTTTTTTTCACGCAAATGGAGCTTTCTCTTGGTGGTGTTTGATCATTTTTTGCGCTATAGAGTAAATGAAAAAAGACTGAAAATTAAAATTTAAAAAAAAGTTGTACTTTTTGCTATAAAACATATCCAATAAAAAAATCTGAACAATAAAATGTCTTCATAAATTTAGGCCAAAATGTATTTCACTACGTCTTTGGTTAAAAAAATAAAATCCAAATAAGTGTAAATTAATAGGTTTGCGTGAAAATCATAGCGTCTACAAATGGTGGTATATATACTGGAATTTTGTTTTTTCTTTATACTAGTCATTGCGGCAATCAGTGACTTATAGCAGGACTGCGATATTAACACTGGATCGGAACCGACTAACTGCCACTGACATCTCCAGTGACACTAATCCCAATAAAAAGCACTGACTCTGTACTAATGACGCTAGGCAAGAAGGGGTTAACATCTGTTTGATCAAAGGGTTAACTGTGTGTTAGGGAGTGATTAAACTGTGTACTATGTTGTGTTTTACTAGAGGATGTGCTGGCTTTTATTTCCCTGCTTCGCCGGAAACCTAATGTTAATGTTACATTGGTAAAATTACAGAAAAATTTAATTTTTTTCTAATTTTCTCTATTTATTCTCTATAAATACTTAAGAAATAAAAATATATGTATACAGATTTGCTACCAAATTAATGATTACTGTCCCGATTTATAATTATTTTCTAGTAGACTACAAAACCTAAAAGATATACAGTAATTTGCAGAACTGAAACATCACCACAATGGGGCCCTGCCTCTTCTGAGCCATATTAAAAGCAAAGTATTGCAAAAAAACTGACATGGCGGTTTTCAGCCATTGACAGCACTTCCTTGTCTCTGGGCCCTGCCAGCATACTTACTGTATATGGTATCCTTGTGTATGGGAGAAGTAGCTGAACACATTTTTAGAAGCAGTTTTTTTTTACCGTGCCATCACTTTGTTTGCGAAATCCATCACCAAATGTATGCTTTTGTTGAAAAACTTGTATTTACATTTTTACTAATTTTGCTGGCAATTGCATTCTGAAAAATTAGGGTTCAAAGTCCATTAGTAAAATAAGAGTTTTGATTACCTCCATTTTCAGTTAGAATTGGGAGAGTCTGGTTAAAAATTCACCATGTTGTCAAACTGCATTAAAGTCAATAGAGAATGTAAAATTAAGGTGTTTTTTTAAGTAAACCTTCACCCTTTTTTAATGTTGCTCTTCCCCCCTCCTCCCTTCTTCCTATAACTGAATTAAAAAATTTAAAAAATAAAAATTATAAAAAGTTTTTTTTTTTTTTTTTTTTTAATAATGTCTTTTTCCTTAAGCTACAGGATAATAAACATACACACAAAAGGGGGAAACAAATACAAAGAACACTACAAAAAATAAAACTACCATAAATATAAATACATTTTGTCAAAAATTAACCCTCTAAATAAAGAAAAAACAGAAGAGTAGATTTTTTAAGCCAACTGTAAGACAATTTCAACTGAATCATTTAGTGAGCAAAATTAAATTACACTTCTAAAAAAATATTAAGAAAATTGGTATTTTTGTGTAGTAAGAGATCTGGACTACAGGTATGGAACAAGATGTCATTTCAGCAATAAACTCTGATTCATTTATTTGTCACATTCCTAAAGCAGGAAGAAGATTCTTGGATCTTAGCTCAGTTCTATAACTCTTCAGAGTTATTTTCAATTTGTCCCAGTAATAATTATAACTCTGACAATAAATACCATACGTCTGTCACCAGGACCTGACTGATACTCCAAACAAACATTTGTCAACATACTATATTACTAATATACTATGATACTATATCAATACAAAAAACTGTATTGACACCCACCAAGCACCTCCTGGCCTAGACTGATTAAAGTATAATCTATTATCCTGGTGCACAACCTGCAGCTTGGGGGCTTTATGCAGCCTTTGATTACATACTGTGTGGCCCTCAGAGCCCCTGCATTATAGTAGACTGTTTCTTCCTGACCGAGGTGCTTACTCAGGCCATAGAAGAAACATATTTCTTATGGAGACCATGGAATCATTGATTTATAAAGGGGCTGTAATGGTGATCTTTTGAAAAAGAAGTAAAACCAAAGTTTTTTTTTGGCCATGTTTCTCTTCTGGATCACAGAAGTGCACTTCATTCTGCACACCTATGACCCAGAATCAGCCAACAGCGGGATAAAGCCTGCTGTCAGCTGATGTCACAGAACCGCTCCAGGTTCTGAAAGGATCCCAACAATAATGTCAGGATTCACCCTGGTGCCCAGCAGGTGGCTCAGGCTCTCAGCACACAGTGTGATGTGTTGGGTAGTAACATGCAGAGTCCAAATAAGGCAATAAAGTTATATTGTTGAAAAGGTTCAAACACAAATTATTCAGGCACGGGAGGGTAGGCACTCCCATCTGGAGCCACTTACAAACAGTGACAGTGGTCTGAAGACTTAAAGATGTCAAAAGTGTCTGTAACAAGGAGTGGAATGTGGCCTGGCCAGTCCAAACCCAAAGGGAAGGCTACCCTTAGGTACTGTACCTGTCAGACAGGGATCCTGTCCCTTTGCTAGGCACTGCCAAACCCGGAAGCCAGACTCTAAAATAGACTTTGCCTGACTCAAGATGGCCATTGGAGTCACATGGGGTGCCAGCGTCCAATCGGACAGCTGTCTAGCTGTGACTGCAAGAAGTCATAGAGGAGCCAAGTTCCTCACAATTTTCTTCCCCTCTGCATTGCTGCTTTGGTCATGTACCACCTGCAGTGGGGAGTACAGACTGCACCTGCCTACACATTTCTCCTTTAACCTCCCTAGCGGTCTGATTATGTCTATATTTCTGTGCTCAAAGCGGTACATTTTTTTGCATGGAAATATGTAGTTTGTTTATTGTAGGCCTGTAATTTTTAGGAATAACTCACTGAAATCTGTCTGAACAAGAGTCTATTAAACATCCCGGGTATGTTAAAATTTGAAACACGAAATCATAAATTATAATTGAATAAATAATCATAAAAAATAATAATATAATAATAATAAATTTAATGAAATAATATAATCAAACCAAAAACACTGAAATTTGAAATATAGCGCCAAGTTCGCACATCACTAAGCAAAGTCGCAAAATCGTTTTCAGTGTCTGAGGACGAATTTCCCCCACAAATCATTATCACTCAATTCTGCAAGTAGTTCTAATTTACTATCGCTGTTCTCTAGCTAGTCTAAAACTGCTTTTGACCTAAAGGGACGCTTTTTGGACGCCATGGACATTTCTCAGTTTCAAGGCAGAAAGAACAGTAAAAATGCAGGCAGGGCACAGGACAAAGCACTCGGTACAAAATGTATGTGAAATGGTTTGATACAGTAATGTTTTACTATGTGCTTTTAGTGAATTTAGTGAATATCACTTTTGCAACTTTCAAGTTTCCCACCAGTTCCGTCCCCATACGTCCCGACGTCGCAAGGAGCGGAACCCAGAAGACTGATGCCGGCATCCGCCGGAGGACATAGCCGGGGACACTGCAGGAGGGACATCACGGGAGCGCAGGTCAAGGTGAGTGAAGAACAGATCCCAGAGCAGCGCTGCAGGGTATTCCCAAGTGTAGCTCGGGGTTACCACTTGTGGTACTGAAACTTTACCCCGAGTTACACTCGGGAATACCTCCAGGGAGGTTAAAGTGGTTGTAAAGCATAAACTTTTTTTAATTTAATGCATTCCTTGCATTAAGGTAAAAATGTTTAGGTTAAAGTCACCCTTTCAACACCCCCCAATGCTTCCCTAAGTCCTAACTTGATTCAGTGCAGTGCCCATCTACAGCAGCCCTTTTATCTTCTCCCCACTCTCAAAGGCTTTGCTGAAAGCAGTAGGAGCCATTGGCTCCCGCTGCTATCATTCAAGCGTAACAAGGGAGTGGAGGGCAGGGCCAAGCCTCGCTATCTGTGTCAATGGACAAGGACATTGTGGCTGAGGACCGAGCATGCAGGTGTGCCATGATAGAAAGCGGCTTCCTATGGTGGCACACCAAGAAGAGGAGGAGCTAGGAGTTCTGGCAGGGGACCCACCGGCCTGTACACGCACATGAACTTTAATGGCATCCCAGTCTTAGTCCGCAGGGTTCAATATTGAGTTGGCCAACCCTTTTGCAGCTATAACAGCTTCAACTCTTCTGGAAAGGCTGTCCACAAGGTTTAGGAGTGTGTCTATGGGAATGTTTGACCATTCTTCCAG